CTCGTGCGACGATGCCAGGTCGATGCTTCCCCCCCTGAGCCGATCTGCTCCTATCGTTCCCTGCTCATCCTCCTGCCCGTGCTCGATCCTCGGCCCTCCAGTCTCCTGCCCTTCTCCTTCTCGCCGTCCTGCATCATCTACCCTTGCTCAAAATAGCGCAGGTCGGGTCTTGGAGTGTTCCCCGTTTGCCTGGCGACCTTATGATTCGCACAGCGGTCGAGGCCGAGTCGGGTGAAGTTTGGGGTCGCGCAGTATTTGTCCTGTTTCCTGGTCTTCTTCTTCTTCTTCTTCTTCTTCCTCCTCCACCTGCTCCACTCGGAAGAGTCCTCTATCCTCGATCCTCGATCCCTGTGTGTCGCCCCGCGGTTATTTCCGTCTCAAGGACGGTTGCGGGCTGGGGGCGCTCCGCGAAGCCACCGCGGGGCGGCCGCGCGCTCCCGGCTGCCCCCGCTCGTCCTCTCTCCTCCTCTCCTCCCCTTCCTCTCCTCCCCTTCCTCTCCTCCCCTGCTCTCCCTCTCCTGCCCTCCCTCCCCTCCTCCCCTTTGTCTCTTTGCTCCCAGGTTCCTCTCGAGCCCGACGCGCGCCGTCGCCGAAGCTCCCGGCTTCGTGCTTCGGGGGTTGGCGTCGGGCGCGGCCAGGGCGGAGACGCGTCCGTTCCAGAGCGTCCCGCGAGCGTCCGAGGCATCCCCCCGCAGCCGCCAGATCTCGAATGTTCTCGTCCTCCTCCTCCTCCTCCTCCTCCTCCTCCTCCTCCGCCTCCTCTTCCTCCTCCTCCTCCTTCTCCTCCTCCTCCTTCTTTCTCTCCTCCTCCTCCTTCTCCTCCTCCTCCTTCTTCTCCTTCACACCTCTCCTCGAGGTGTGATCCTCACTTTTGGATGCTGTCCTCGTCCTGGCTTCGCCTCCCACGCTCCCCGATCCGTGGAGCCCGGGCCCACGCACCAGATCCACGGAGCCAACGGCCGGGGGCAGCGGCCTCCTCCTCCTCGCAATGCCCCCCCTCCTCCTCCTGCTCCTGCTCCTCCTCCCTCCTCCTCCTCGCGATGCCCCTCCTCCTCCTCCTGCTCCTCCCTCCTCCTCTCTCTCCTCCTCCTGCTCCTCCCTCCCTCCTCTCCCCTCTCCTCCCCCCCCCCCTCCGTGCACCGACCCGGGAAGGGCCGGCAGGCCTGCCTCTCCTCCTCCTCCTCCTCCTCCTCCTCCTCCTCCCGTGCCCCCCTGCCGCCGCTCGTGCTCCTGCTTCCCCCCCCCCCTCCGTCCTCCCTCCCCCTCCGTCCTCTCTTTCTGCCTCCCTCCCCCGCGTCCTCCTCTCTCCCTCGTCCCCGTCCTCGTCTTTCCCCCCCCCCCCCCGTTCTCTCTCCCTCCCCCTCTCCCTCCCTCGGCCCCCTCCCCCACCGCCCTCCCTCCCCCCCGCCCTCCCTGCCCCGGCGATGGCCTCGCACACGGGCCCCACCGAGAACGTCGCGTGCGGAAAGTGCGGCACCCTGAACCAGGTGCCGTTCGGCCTGTCGCAGTTCAAGTGCTACGACTGCATGGCGATGGTCGCCTGCCCGCTCCCGAGGGCCTCGGAAGGTCTCGGGCGTCTCCTCCAGGTGTCCCGAGATGGGCCGAGGGCCGCCTCGAGCGGAAAAAGCTCACGATGGGGCACCGGACGGCCACAGGCAGCCCCATGCCCATGTGAGGAGGAGGAGGAAGAGGAGGAGGAGGAGGAGGAGGGCCGGCTGTGGGCATCTGGTGCGGGCTGTCGGGCCCCGAGGGGCGCTCCCGTGTCCAGCGGGACTTCCCCCCTCCTTGTCCTGCGTCGCTCCTCTCGGACCTTCTCGAGGCCGTCGAGGAGCCGGCGGGGCGACCGTGGCTGCGTGGCCATGGTGAGCGTCGCGCGCCAGTCCTCCCCCGCGTGCGCGGCCGCGTCTCCGGCGGCGCTCCGCTACGAGGGCCTGAGGTCCGGGAGCGTCGGCTGGGCAGTGCCAACGGGAGGTCACGAGGGGTCACCACCACCTGATGGAAAGAATCGAGGAGGAGGAGGAGGAGGAGGAGGGGCGATGGAGGATCCGATAGGGTTCGGGACGTTCTTCTTGGGCGTCTTTGGGAGTCCCGAGCCATGGCATCGCTTGGGCGTGTGCATGTTTGCCTCGGCGAGGAAAATTGAGGAGCATCCTGGATCATCCTTCGAAACTTGAGCGCACGAAACTGAACCACGCACGTGGAGTGGACGTCCGAGCGATGGCAAGGAGGGGCCCTGTGAAGTCAAGCGTCCAGCGGGGTCCTTTTCCTTTGGTAGGTCGCGACCCCCTCAGTGGTGACCCCCCTTTGGCATGGCCCCAAACTGCACGCCACCCTCCCCCCCCATTGCGTCCCCAGATCTCCGACGATATGTTTTTCACAACCCTCCTGTGTGTGTGTGTGTGTTGATCCTCGTTTTCAATTCGCAGCGCCGCGCGTCCCCTCCTCCTTTCTCCTCCCCCTCATCCTCTTTTTCCTCGATATTCCCCCCACTTCCCCCTCATCCTCCACTTCCTTATTCCCATCACCATCACCATTCACGAATACCCCTCACACGCTTCTTGGCCCCACAGGCAGCTCCATGGAAGGCCCCAGGGGCTGCAACCGCATGGCTCCTTGGGTCCATTCTGGCACACCTCCCACACGTTTCGTGGCCTCACGGGGAGCTCCACCGAAGGCTCCAGAGGCTGCATCCGCATGGCTACTCGGGTTCATGTCGGCACACCCCGCACACGATTCGTGGCCCCGTCGGGAGCTCCATCGAAGGCCCCAGTGGTAGCATCCGCGTGGTTACTCGGGTTCGTGGCCCCAGAGCGAGCTTTACCGAAGGCCCCTTTGGTTGCGTCCGCATGGTTATATGGGTTGATTTGGGCACATCCCTCAGAAGCTTTGTGGCATCATAGGGATCTCTACCGAAGGCCCCAGGCGTCCGCACGTTTACTCGGGTCTGTTCTGGCACGCCCCTCACACGTTTCGTGGCCCCACACGGAGCTCCACCGAATGCCCCAGTGGCTGCGTCCGCATGGCTCCTTGGGTCCATTTTGGCACACCACACGTTTCGTGGCCCCAGAGGGAGCTCCGCTGAAGGCCCCAGTGGATGCGTCCGCATGGTTAATCAGATCCATTTCGGCACACCCCTCGCAAGTTTCGTGGCCCCCTGTATGCAAAAGGGTTGGCGTCTTCTCTGGGGTAGGGTTTAGTTTAAATCCGAGCACTTTAACCCAACCAATGCTTGCTCTTGAGGGCTATCACTTGTCCTCCAGGGAACTGGACCTGTGCGTTGGTCCGGTCGGCTTGTAGCGGCCCGTCGCCGCTGGTCGCCGCCGCCCGCTTGCATTGCATTGTTTTGTATTGCTTTGCCATGCTTTGTAATGCTTTGTATGGAATTGCATATCTCTGCATGTCCTGACATTGTCTTGCGTTACGCTGTGTTGAGTAGAATTGCGTTGCATTGCTGTCCATTTGTTTGCATTGCATTGCCTTGCTGTGCATCGTTTGCGCCACTTGCACCACATAGCTTACACCGTAGGTATCGCTCCGCACCGCACGTCTTGCACCATCAAGTACTCACCACAGGGTTTTGCACCACGAAGTTCACACCACATAAATTGTACCACCTAGTTCACATCACAAATATCGCACCACACAGATCGCTTAACATAGATCGCTCCGCATAGCTCACACAATATATACTGCGCCACAACTCTTACACCGCACACGTAGACACACACATTGCACCACGCATATTTCAACACATGACTTGCACCACACAGCTTCCACCACACATGTTGCATCACCTAGATTGAACCACATCTATTGCACCATATAAGATGCATTACACAGCGCCACACAGTTTTTAACGCCACAGATTCTGCACCCCATACTATGCACCACAGGTATTGCTTAGCATAGTGTGCACCCCATAGCTAGCACCACACATATCGCACCACGTTGATTGCACCATCTACTACGCACCAGATAATTCGCACAACGGATCTCACAGCATATGAATTGCACCACCAAGTTTGCACACCATATAGTGCACCACATGCATCGGTTACCATAGATTTCGCCACATAGCTCAATCCACTGTTGCGTAACAAGTTTGTTTCGCCACACACGTTGCACCACAGTGTACGCATTGCATACATGGCACCACATCTATGGCGCCAGGCGCCACAACGGTTGCACCACTCAGTTTTCCCCACACAGTTAGCACCAGGTAGTTTGCTACACGTCGACTGCTTCACATAACTTGCAGCACACATATTGCGCCACACTGCTTACATCGCACTGATTGTTCATCGCATGTGGCACCACGTAGCTTGCAGCACCAACACATTGCACCACGTAGCTTACCCCTCATGCATTGCTTATCATAGGTTGCACCAACATATCGCGCCACATAGTTTACACCACTTCTACGGCGCACCGCATATATTGCACCTAGTCGATGTCCCATCACAGAGTCAACACACACACACACATACTCATCACTATATTTTGCAACACATGCTTTGCACCACATGGATTGTACCACACAGCTTACAGCACACACATACAGATCTATACACTTACACCACATGTTCTGCCTCACATGGACTTCACCACAGCTGTGTTGCACAACATCGTCTGCCAGAACACACCCTTTTTGGGTGCACGCTGACCCACATGTCTGTATCGATTTCGGCCTCTGGGACCCAGGATCGGGCTCCAGGATCAACAAGCACGGATCCGTGCCGAAGATCTGCACCCCCGCGGGGTCGGCACTTCTGGAGCCGCCCGCTGCTCCGAGAGCACAGCGCCAGGCTGCTGGGCCGTCACGGCGGAAGGTCCCCGCCCCCCTCGTTCCGTCGCGCCCCGCGGAGAGATCTCGCGACGGAACAACGAGATGCTCGCTTTTGAGACCTTCCTGGGGCCCACTCCACGGATCTGCTCGACTCTGGGGAGGCCCTGCTTCGACTCTGACTAGAGGATCTGCTCAGGCTCGACTCTAGTTCGAAGGACGTTCGGCGCCGCATCCGCGCGGAGCGAGTGACTCCGGGAAGATCCCCAGAACGAGCACCTCGGAGGTCCTCGGAGGGCCTCGGAGGCCTCTGGAGGTCCAGGATGCCCTCCTCACCGCCGCCAGAGACTTCGTTCCTCGATCCTCCAGCGGAGGACGGGGATGGTAGCATCCGCGTTGGCCTCGTCCGCCGCGCATCGCCGCTCCGGCTTGCCGCTCCCTGCTGCCATTTTGGCTCGAGGCGCCCTCAATCGAGGCCTCTGATTTCTTGCCACTTGCGCCGTCCGACGGCTCACCGAACCTCAACAACTCTTTCTCTTGAACGAACTCTCGTTTGGCGGTCGCGCGGACCCATGTATCGCGCCAGCCAGCTTCAGAATGTGTGGCTCCTGCTCATCCCAGGCATCCCCGGCGCGGGGGCAATTCAGACCGGGCTCCAGGGTGCCGACGGTGGGAAGCAGGCGTCTGTGGACAACAGCAGCTTCTCGACCCCAAGTGCGATTTCCAGGACGTGGTTTACCTATTCGCAGATAAGTGTGAAGTCTCAATCGGGTTACTGCCTCGACGGCGATGGTGGCTGGCCGTACAGTGGGATGGATTTGCACAATTGGTATTGTCCTCATACAAATGACAGGTGGACACTGCGGAGCGATGATTTACTCGAAGATCTCAATCGCGGCTATTGCCTGAACAATGAAGGAGAAGGGCAGGTAGCCCTCATCCGCCCGTGCGCTTCATCCAGCGCTTGGTGCACAGTGCCAATCGCATCCGATCCGTCGTGGTTCCTTCTGCAAGTCAAGGGCACTAACCTGTGCCTGCAGACGGGCAGTCACGTAAATTTTTGGTACAGGGTGGAGGTGTGCGATGACAGTAGTAACTTTTTCAAGTTCCAGAAATACGGCGGTGGATCGCAGGCATCCTGTAGCGCTCCGACGCCCGACCCGACGCCTTCGCCGACGCCCAGCCCGACCTCCAGTCCGACCTCCAGTCCGACCTCCAGTCCGACCTCCAGTCCGACCTCCAATCCGACCTCCAGTCCGACCTCGTCCCCGACGCTCAACCCGACGCCTTCGCCGACTGAGGCGCCAACGCCGGCGCCAACGTCGGCGGCGACTCCGCCGACCTCGGCGACGGCCACTGGCGATCCGCACCTGCAAAACATCCACGGTGAACGGTTCGACCTGATGACGCCGGGTAAGGTTACATTGGTCAACATCCCACGTGGTAGGCGCGTGGAGGACGCGCTGCTTGCGGTAGAAGCAGACGCGCGTCGCCATGGTGGATCTTGTGCCGACACGTATTTCCAGGAAGTGAACATCACAGGGGTATGGGCGGACAAGTTGAAGGCCGGGGGTTTCACCTTCAACGCCGAAGGCGTTCAGAGCCACGAGGTGCCGAAATGGACAAATTTCGGGCCGCTGGAGGTCAAAGTCGTCCTCGGGCGCACGGAGACGCGGATTCAGTACTTGAACGTCTTCGTCAAACACCTTGGGCATGCCGGCTTTGCCGTCGGAGGGCTACTGGGAGAAGATGACCATACAGATGCAGCGAGGATCCCAGCGGAATGCCGCACCACGATTTCGCTGCTTAAGCCGTCCGGGACCAGCGTGCAGGTTGACGAGCCGGTCTCGGTCGCGATCGCCAGCTGAGCCGACCTCCCGTCTTCCATTCTTTCCCCTTCCCTCCTCCCTTTCGTCGTCTGCACCACTCCCGCTGCTCGTATGTTTGCCCTGACCTCGCCCCCCCTTCTCGTGATCCTCACGCCGGGGGCGCGGCCGTTTCTTCCTTCTGACTCTTTTGACGTGGAGGAAGCTGGGGCGGAGGCCTTCCTCGAGGACTTCGGCGGCCACTCGGTCCCCGGGCCAGCTCTGCCCCGCTGGACCTGGCAGCGCACTTCTGAGAAGGCCCGCAGCCTTCGGCCCACTGTGGCCCCTTTGTCCCGTGATCGTCAGAAAAAAACGGCTCGAGGTGGGGGCCCTGTCTCTCCGACGTGGGCCTGCCGCGTGACCCTCGGCAGACGACCTGTCCTGTGTTCCTCAGAGAACGACTCGAGGTGGGAGCCCTGCCTCTCCGACGTCGGATCCTTGTCTCGCGCCGGCGGCCGGCCGCGGCTTCGACCCCTGCCCCGGGGGAGAAGCTCCCTCCCGAGTTCTACGGCTGTCCCTTGTGGCCCCGGGGCCGGGGGGCGGCCTCCAGGCGTGCCGAGAGCGACGCGCAAACGGCCGTCCCGAGGTTTTTTTGTGGTTGCCTCTCGGCCACGCGCAGGGGGGGGATGTACATAGGGGGAGGGGGGAGGGCTCCTCAGAAGCACTCTGGCTTCCGAGAGGGGGCGCGGGCCGGCGCCTCCGCCGAGAAGCCAGCCGGCGCCCTCTCTAAGAGGCAGCCTGCTTCCAGGAAGCCGTTCCCCCCACGCCCTCTACACCCCCTCGTGCGCGCCGCCGGGCCTCGCCCGGAGAGGCCGGCCTCGTGGCGGGCGCGGGAGGCCCCGGCGGAGCTCTCCTCCCTCTCACGTTCTGGGGGGGCGAGCGGTGCCCCCTCGCCGCCGCCGCGGAACCGCAGTTGCGCCTCGGCGCGCCTTCCGTGTCCTCAGATCCAGGCGCTGCGCAGTTTTGATCACGGCGGAGGGGGAGGAGGAGGAGGAGGGGGAGGAGGAGGAGGAGGAGGAGGAGGAGGAGGAGGAGGAGGAGGAGGAGGAGGAGGAGGAGGGGGGGATGCTCAGGACGGGAGTGAGCGGAGGGCGGAGGATTGGGACCAGAACCCAGGCCAGCGGAACCAGAATCGTAAACAAGCTCGGTTGAGATTTAGACACGGCTTTCGGTATCAAGAACGTTTCGGGCCGCCGGACATGAACCACATTGCCAAATTGCCCAGAGTAGCACGATTTGTTTTCCCCACATGCTTGGTGGGGTTCTGGTTTTCTTCACTGCCGCGCCGCACCCGCGTCTCACCTCCTCCCCTCCTCCCCCTTTCTCCTCCTTCCTCCCTCACCCACAGCACAGCACAACACAGCACGGCACAGCTCAGCTCAGCACAGCACAACACAGCACAGCACAGCACAGCTCAGCACACAGCACACAGCACACAGCACAGCACAGCACAGCACAGCTCACCGCAGCACTATTGAATTGCATATCTCTGCATGTCCTGACATTGTCTTGCGTTACGCTGTGTTGAGTAGAATTGCGTTGCATTGCTGTCCATTTGTTTGCATTGCATTGCCTTGCTGTGCATCGTTTGCGCCACTTGCACCACATAGCTTACACCGTAGGTATCGCTCCGCACCGCACGTCTTGCACCATCAAGTACTCACCACAGGGTTTTGCACCACGAAGTTCACACCACATAAATTGTACCACCTAGTTCACATCACAAATATCGCACCACACAGATCGCTTAACATAGATCGCTCCGCATAGCTCACACAATATATACTGCGCCACAACTCTTACACCGCACACGTAGACACACACATTGCACCACGCATATTTCAACACATGACTTGCACCACACAGCTTCCACCACACATGTTGCATCACCTAGATTGAACCACATCTATTGCACCATATAAGATGCATTACACAGCGCCACACAGTTTTTAACGCCACAGATTCTGCACACCATACTATGCACCACAGGTATTGCTTAGCATAGTGTGCACCCCATAGCTAGCACCACACATATCGCACCACGTTGATTGCACCATCTACTACGCACCAGATAATTCGCACAACGGATCTCACAGCATATGAATTGCACCACCAAGTTTGCACACCATATAGTGCACCACATACATCGGTTACCATAGATTTCGCCACATAGCTCAATCCACTGTTGCGTAACAAGTTTGTTTCGCCACACACGTTGCACCACAGTGTACGCATTGCATACATGGCACCACATCTATGGCGCCAGGCGCCACAACGGTTGCACCACTCAGTTTTCCCCACACAGTTAGCACCAGGTAGTTTGCTACACGTCGACTGCTTCACATAACTTGCAGCACACATATTGCGCCACACTGCTTACATCGCACTGATTGTTCATCGCATGTGGCACCACGTAGCTTGCAGCACCAACACATTGCACCACGTAGCTTACCCCTCATGCATTGCTTATCATAGGTTGCACCAACATATCGCGCCACATAGTTTACACCACTTCTACGGCGCACCGCATATATTGCACCTAGTCGATGTCCCATCACAGAGTCAACACACACACACACATACTCATCACTATATTTTGCAACACATGCTTTGCACCACATGGATTGTACCACACAGCTTACAGCACACACATACAGATCTATACACTTACACCACATGTTCTGCCTCACATGGACTTCACCACAGCTGTGTTGCACAACATCGTCTGCCAGAACACACCCTTTTTGGGTGCACGCTGACCCACATGTCTGTATCGATTTCGGCCTCTGGGACCCAGGATCGGGCTCCAGGATCAACAAGCACGGATCCGTGCCGAAGATCTGCACCCCCGCGGGGTCGGCACTTCTGGAGCCGCCCGCTGCTCCGAGAGCACAGCGCCAGGCTGCTGGGCCGTCACGGCGGAAGGTCCCCGCCCCCCTCGTTCCGTCGCGCCCCGCGGAGAGATCTCGCGACGGAACAACGAGATGCTCGCTTTTGAGACCTTCCTGGGGCCCACTCCACGGATCTGCTCGACTCTGGGGAGGCCCTGCTTCGACTCTGACTAGAGGATCTGCTCAGGCTCGACTCTAGTTCGAAGGACGTTCGGCGCCGCATCCGCGCGGAGCGAGTGACTCCGGGAAGATCCCCAGAACGAGCACCTCGGAGGTCCTCGGAGGGCCTCGGAGGCCTCTGGAGGTCCAGGATGCCCTCCTCACCGCCGCCAGAGACTTCGTTCCTCGATCCTCCAGCGGAGGACGGGGATGGTAGCATCCGCGTTGGCCTCGTCCGCCGCGCATCGCCGCTCCGGCTTGCCGCTCCCTGCTGCCATTTTGGCTCGAGGCGCCCTCAATCGAGGCCTCTGATTTCTTGCCACTTGCGCCGTCCGACGGCTCACCGAACCTCAACAACTCTTTCTCTTGAACGAACTCTCGTTTGGCGGTCGCGCGGACCCATGTATCGCGCCAGGCATCCCCGGCGCGGGGGCAATTCAGACCGGGCTCCAGGGTGCCGACGGTGGGAAGCAGGCGTCTGTGGACAACAGCAGCTTCTCGACCCCAAGTGCGATTTCCAGGACGTGGTTTACCTATTCGCAGATAAGTGTGAAGTCTCAATCGGGTTACTGCCTCGACGGCGATGGTGGCTGGCCGTACAGTGGGATGGATTTGCACAATTGGTATTGTCCTCATACAAATGACAGGTGGACACTACGGAGCGATGATTTACTCGAAGATCTCAATCGCGGCTATTGCCTGAACAATGAAGGAGAAGGGCAGGTAGCCCTCATCCGCCCGTGCGCTTCATCCAGCGCTTGGTGCACAGTGCCAATCGCATCCGATCCGTCGTGGTTCCTTCTGCAAGTCAAGGGCACTAACCTGTGCCTGCAGACGGGCAGTCACGTAAATTTTTGGTACAGGGTGGAGGTGTGCGATGACAGTAGTAACTTTTTCAAGTTCCAGAAATACGGCGGTGGATCGCAGGCATCCTGTAGCGCTCCGACGCCCGACCCGACGCCTTCGCCGACGCCCAGCCCGACCTCCAGTCCGACCTCCAGTCCGACCTCCAGTCCGACCTCCAGTCCGACCTCCAATCCGACCTCCAGTCCGACCTCGTCCCCGACGCTCAACCCGACGCCTTCGCCGACTGAGGCGCCACCGCCGGCGCCAACGTCGGCGGCGACTCCGCCGACCTCGGCGACGGCCACTGGCGATCCGCACCTGCAAAACATCCACGGTGAACGGTTCGACCTGATGACGCCGGGTAAGGTTACATTGGTCAACATCCCACGTGGTAGGCGCGTGGAGGACGCGCTGCTTGCGGTAGAAGCAGACGCCCGTCGCCATGGTGGATCTTGTGCCGACACGTATTTCCAGGAAGTGAACATCACAGGGGTAATGGGGGCGGACAGTTGGGCCGGGGGTTTCACACTTCCGCCCGAAGGCGATTCAGGGAGCCACGAGGTGCCAAATGGAGGAATTTCGGGCCCGCTGGGAGGTCAATCGTCCTCGGGGCGCACGGAGACGGGGATTCAGTACTTGAACGATTTTTTCGTCAAACACCTTGGGCATGCCGGCGTTGCCGTCGGAGGGCTACTGGGAGAAGATGACCATACAGATGCAGCGAGGATCCCAGCGGAATGCCGGACCACGATTTCGCTGCTTAAGCCGTCCGGGACCAGCGTGCAGGTTGACGAGCCGGTCTCGGTCGCGATCGCCAGCTGAGCCGACCTCCCGTCTTCCATTCTTTCCCCATCCCTCCTCCCTTTCGTCGTCTGCACCACTCCCGCTGCTCGTATGTTTGCCCTGACCTCGCCCCCCCTTCTCGTGATCCTCACGCCGGGGGCGCGGCCGCCCCTCCCTTGTGACTCTTCTGACGTGGAGGAAGCTGGGGCGGAGGCCTTCCTCGAGGGCTCGGGCGGCCACTCGGCCCCTGGGCCAGCTCTGCCCCGCAGCGCTGCCAGGTCCAGCGGCGCGCACTTCTGAGAAGGCCCACAGCCTTCGGCCCACTGTGGCCCCTTTGTCCTGTGATCGTCAGAAAAAAAAACGGCTCGAGGTGGGGGCCCTGTCTCTCCGACGTGGGCCTGCTGCGTGACCCTCGGCAGACGACCTGTCCTGTGTTCCTCAGAGAACGACTCGAGGTGGGAGCCCTGCCTCTCCGACGTCGGATCCTTCTCTCGCGCCGGCGGCCGGCCGCGGCTTCGACCCCTGCCCCGGGGGAGAAGCTCCCTCCCGAGTTGTATGGCTGTCCCTTGTGGCCCCGGGGCCGGGGGGCGGCCTCCAGGCGTGCCGAGAGCGAGGCGCAAACGGCCGTCCCGAGGTTTTTTTGTGGTTGCCTCTCGGCCACGCGCAGGGGGGGGGTGTACTGTCGGGGCCCTGAAGAAGGAACCCTTCTCGTTGGGGAGGGGCTCCGTGTTCCTTGATTGGTTCACAGCTTGCCTTAGGGTTTCCTTAGGTTTTCGATGGGAAATCGAACTTTCACAGATGGGAGAAAGGGGCCTCGTTCCTTATGTAGCGTTCCTTAGGTCAACGCCCCCACTGTACAGGGGGAGGGGGGAGGGCTCCTCAGAAGCACTCTGGCTTCCGAGAGGGGGCGCGGGCCGGCGCCTCCGCCGAGAAGCCAGCCGGCGCCCTCTCTAACAGGCACTTGGATGAGTTTGGCGGCTGCCAGACGATCGCAAGTTTTAACATCAGTTATAAGCAGATGCGGCATGCTTAACATCAGATGCGGCATGCGTACTTGCAAGTACTTAGTAAGTATATAGCAAGTGACTTATCAAGCGTTAAGTTAAGCGGGGCTAAGTGGTTGCAGTCACATAGCAAGTACTTACGTTAAGCGGCCCAACATGCACTTTGTGGCCATTTGTGTAGCTTGTTGCTCAACATGCAAATAACATGTTGCACCGACAACGCATTCATGGTGAACGAAAACATCTGAATAATATGGAACCAGATATCTTGGTATACGTAGCTGGCCCCTC